GCATCTCATCCAAGTCCACGCTGATGGGGAATGACATGCTGCTCTGTGGCCTGTTTATTATTTAAAAAAATTTTTTTAATCCTTACCTAAGGATATTATCTGGAGGGAGGAAGGGAGGGAGAGAGGGAGAAAGAAAGAAAGAGAGAGAAACATCGATGTGAAAGAGACACATTGACTGGTTGCCTCCCACATGACCCTGACCATGGCAGGGGACAAACCACAACCCAGGTATATGCCCTGGGCCGGAATCGAACCTGAGACTCATTGGTCCGTGGGCCAGTGCTCTACCGCTGAGCCAAACTGGCCAGGGCTGTATAATCCTTTTTTATTTTGGTATTTTCCTCGATGCAGAATTTGGGGGGGGGAGGTGCTGCCAAAAATCTCAGTAATCAAGATAACATTTTAATGCAACATTCTAAAAATCTAAATTAATGCGGAAAAAAAAAAAAAAAAAAGCCATAATGAACAAAACATCAAAATTTTAAAGGAAGGCCACTTACTAACTTCTTAGTCTTGGGCTTAATATCACCAAAGCACTGTTTCTTCATTCTGAAAAATGGGAAAGGAATATAGTCAGTGGTCTCTGCCAGGAAGCTATAGGATCAAGTTAGAGCCGGTATTTAAAGTGCCTGGTGAAATGAGTGGATACTGTTCTTCATAAGAATTTATAAAATAGCTGTGCTAAAAAGTGACAAAATGGCCCTGGCCATTTAGCTCAGTGGTTAGAGCGTTGGCCCGAGGACCAAAGAGTAGTGGGTTCAATTCCGGTCAAGGGCACGTACCTCAGCTGCGGTTCAGCCAGTGGTCGTGGGGGAGGCAACCAAATGATGTGTCTCTCTCGCATCAATGTTTCTCTCTCTCTCTCTCTCCCTCCCTCCCATTCTCTCTGAAGATAAATGGAAAAGTGTCCTTAAGTGAGGATTTTAAAAAAAAGGTGATAAAAGGTTTATTTTTCTCTCTCTTTTGATTTTTGTTATTCTCCAGTATTGATGAGGAAGGTTAATATTGACCCTTCTCTCGATGTTTGCCATCTGAACCTCATCTCGCAAACAAACATGAATAAATATTGACACATCAAGCTGGCTCCGCAGTAGAACAGCCCCCCGAGTCTTTAAGGCCCACCCAGCTCCACAGCAGTGACTGAGGCCTCTCTGTTCTCTTTCTATGGCTCCCACACTCTTTCTCTTTTTCCTGCTGCCTCTCCATGCTTCCTGCCTCTCCGTGGGACCTATCTCAGGTGTTCTCATCCCCAAATTGTGATTGCTCGGCCAGGATACAGAAGGATGGAGTGGACCGCGGTGGCATAGAGGGAAGTGGGCAGTGGTCACACATGCTGGCATAATAGAAAGGCTTACCCTGTGGTTTCTCCTGAAGCTGGCATCATGTCCCTCGTATGTGGTTGTCACAGTGTCCCTACTACCTGAAATTGTTACTGGGATGGGGACTGGGCCCAGAGTTGGTCTGTGTCGGGCTGGCCAGTAGTGTGTAGGTTCTAGACTTTGTGCAGGAAAGATTTCAAAATAGGAGTCTAGGTGATTTTGAGAAAATGTTTATTAAAGCTGAGGAGGGCTTAAGGTAGAAGAAGCAACAGGAGAGAGCCTAGGCAGGACTGCTTTGGCTTTCCAGAAATGTTATAGGAAAGAAGTGACCCACACTGGGCTGTGTGAACTCACTGAGAAGTAAAAGTCACAGTGACAGAAGTGAGCTAAGGCAGGGCTGTGGTTAGCTCACCGATAAGTTAGAGAAAAAGGGGGCCTTGGAGACAGGTTCAGGGAGTAAGCCCAGGAGGAGCTGCTGCTCCTGCTGCTCCCCTGGTTGCAAGTTTCACGGGGTCCCTTAGAAGTTAGGAGAAATAGCAGAGATACCAGGTGTGGGCATGCTCTAGCAAGAGCACTGGAAGTCCTTTGTCTTGAGACTTATCTTTCTTTAGCTGGTGGTAATCCTAGGGGAGGTCTCAGGGGAGGGTCTTAACAGAATATCCATTAGCTTTACAGGTGTGTCCTTCGGTATGTTGATTCATCAAAATGCGGCGGCTGCATATAGAGGAGTCAGGGTTATTTACTGGTTAGTTTATTTTCAAAGAATATTATCAAAGAGGGACTGGGATCAAGGCCGTTCTGCCCCTGGATGGTCTGGAATGTGTAAAACATTTGTGCTTAAGTGTCCTTGGTTAGGGAAAATAAAACTTTGTGATTCATTAGCTGGCTGCAAATTGCTCAAATTGTCTGGCCTTGTTTAATTATTTTGTCTCAGTTTCCCTTATTCTACTTGGCAAGGAATTTTCCTAGCTTCTTACTCTCCTGTCTCATAACCTTTGTGTATATGTTTGTTTCTGACAACTTTTATTTATTTATTTTATCCAAGGACATTTTTCCATTTTTTGTTCAGATAGAGTGGGAGGGAGAGAGAGGAAGAGAGAGAGAGAAACATCAACATGAAAGGGACACATTGAGTGGCTGCCACCCGCAGGACCCAACCAGGGCTGGGGACAAACCGCAACCGAGATACATGCCCTTAGCAGGAACCGAACCCAGGTCTCTCTGGACTGCAGGCCAACACTCTAATCGCTGAGCCAAACCGGCTAGGACTGTTTCTGACAACTTTAATGGTCACAGAACATGCCATAATAGTCACTCTATTAAAGTATACAATTGGGTGGGGTTTCATATATTTCCAGAGTTATATTAGATTTCAAAGGACCTTGAATGCCAAGCTAAGGAGTTGAAGTTTACTCCTAAGGGGAATGGAGAGTTAATAGTTAATTGCAAAATGTGCTTATTAATGAAATCATCTGACAAACAATGTTCCCCGTTTCCTTTGGCTTCTTCCTAACTTTATGTTACAAGTTGTTTTTTGATGCTTATAATCATGTCATATTTTTAATTTTGTTTTCCACTTTCACCTCAGTATTTTTTCATATACACTTTTCTCTATATCTATGCAGTCTCCATTTTTAATGGCTACATGTTATCTCTTGCTATTGTTGGATATTAACTGTTTTATGTATATGGAACTTTTTAAAATGAACCTGTGTGGGCGGGGTGCTTGACTAGAGTGAGGTAATTCAAGTGCCTAGGGGGTAAAATTTAAGGAGGTGCCCATGCTCAGGGCATGCAATATTGCACCTGCATATGTCACTTTCCTTGTCCTAGTCCCTATACTACAGTGTGTGTGTGTGTGTGTGTGTGTTTCTTTTAATTATTTTGTCAGGATGAGATTACTGGTTTCATGATGTGATTACTGGTTCAAAGTATATTAAGATTTGTATTGCTCCTGATATTAAGTACTAGAATGTTTCTCAGAAGGATCCCGAAGGTTTTTTAAAAAGCATAATTTTGATATGTGCATAATGACATTTTACAGAGATTACAGAGGCAACAAGGCAACTAGGACACTATCACAATATTATGTCCCAACTATAATCCTATTGTTACTTCAGAAATTCCACAGGTCTGACTTCTCACATTTGGGTAACTGGGTCAGAAGGCTTCATCTTTAGACAGTTATGCCTTCATGTAGTCAGTTTCTATACTCTAGCGTCATAGAAACAACAATAAAGCCCTTCATAATTAGACCATGTACCTAACAGATGTCCACTCTGTGTATATCAACCTAGTCACTCAAGGTGTATCCTTTTCCAAAAAGACTAGCCCTTTGGACAGCATCCTCTATGTCACCAGAGATCTTATGAATGAAGAGTGGTGGGCTATTGCTGTTTTACCAAGAACCAAGTTCCCACCTTTAAAGTTAAATTAAAATTTCATTATTTGGGGGACAAATAACATTAGAATTTGCCCACTAACAAGAGTTTTTATAAACATCAAATGGAAAAATATCTGGGCTAGTCTGTTGTGTATAAAATTTTCCTAGGGGGCACTTTTTAGAAATCACTGAATGGAAAATCACCAGAATGGAGTTGAGAGAGGTCTGGTTCCTGAGTCATTAGCAGGCAGATGGAGTTCTCAGTCTTGCGTGGTTAGGGGAAAGATTGGAGGGTGATGGAGCAGAAAGAGCAGGTTTGGGGTAGGATAGAGCATCATGGATAGAGATTGTTGGAAAGAAACCAAAATTGTCTTTAAAACTCTTCCAGCAACTTTCCTTTTCTTGCCTTGGAAAATAATGTGTTTTCTTGAGTCAGAAGAGAAAGAAATCTTACCAGCCAATTAGGGCTAGTAGATTTATTATTTAGCACCACCTAATTTGAAGTACATGAAGCTACAATATTAAAGCTATCTCGTCTTTTGTGGCTTTCTGCCCATTTACTCTTCTAAAGTTTTGCTAAATTAGCCAGATTGAAACTGGCTGCTTTGATAGGATCTCACTTTCTAAAAATTGAGTATCTTCTATGTTCTGAATCAAGCTCATCAAGGCTTCCTAACCTGCAGAAATGCTGGCTTTTGGAGGAAGGCTTGCAGAACCAAACCCAATGTGTACACACACAGTTCGCACCTAGGGTGGAAGATAGCCCCAAGAGCTACACAGGGACCGGGCAATCCCAAATCTCCAGCACGTTTTCTGCAACAAGACTGCAAGCCATTTCTCTTATAGGCACCTTCCTAAGAGCAAAATGCACTAAAATGTACCTGTTCTCAACATGATTTGTACAAATTCAGGACTGGACATTTGTCATAATCCCAAGGAGCATGATACTGGGCTTGGACAACAGACAAACCTATCCCTCAGAGCTCTTAAAAAATATCCTTCCTAAACTGCTTATTTGTAAGATGTCTGTTACTTGTGCTAAAGCGTTCACATTCCTAACCACCAAATCCATTGGCCAGGTCTTTCGCGCGACTTGGGCAGTGAGCATTAAACGTCGGCCCAGCTAGGACCCAGCGCAGGACTCGTCTCCGCGGGGCTCGGCGGCGGGCGCTCCAGGACAAGTTCGGAGGCCTAGCCAATCAGAAGCCGCCGTCGCGCAGCCGCCAATCGTCCCCGCCCTCGCTCCACCGGTTATTTAAAGGAGCGCACTCGCGGGCCGCGGTGTTGGTGTTGGTTCAGCGGCCTCGGTTTGTGTATCGCACGGTCATGGCCCGCCACCTCGTGCTCTGCAACGGCGCCAAGATGCCCGTCCTGGGGCTGGGCACTTGGAAGGTAGGTGCGGTGGGGCGCGTCCTGCAGCTCTTTTCGGGCTCCGCGCAGCCTGCAGCGGGCAGGGACCTCGAGTGACCCTTAGCGGTCTCCGCGGTGGACGCCTGGCCTCCCAGGAGCCACACTCGGGCTTGTCCCGCCCTCGGCGGGCTCAGGTTGGCCCCGCGGGCGCCCGGGCGTGGACGTGGGCCAGGCGCTCGCCCGGGGGGGTGCTTGGGAGCGGCGGGGGAGAGGGGGGGTCGGGGCGGTGTGGGGGGGCTTGGAAGGCCGCCTCTGCACACACTGGGTGGGTTTGGTTCCCAGGCCACGCTTTGAATCCGATCCCAGCTGGAAAAGTCACTAAGAGGGACCGACGGCAAGGGAGGCTTCCCGAGCCCCCGCCTCCCTGCCCGGGGGGATGGAGACGGGGAGACGGAGCAGACAGAGATGTGGGTGTAGGCGGCGCCGGCCTTCCTCTCCTGGGGGCACTTGTTGCGCCACCCCTTTCTCTTTCGAAGTAGTTTGTCCTTAATTGTTTCCGTTGTCTCTCAGGAATAAGCATCCCAGGTAAGCCAGGAGGCTGCAGATAATTAAATTAGGTGACACGAGATCGCCCAGGACGCCTCCATTTCCCTGTCTCCAGAGGCGCAGCGCCCAGCCTCTCCAGCCCGGTGGTAGGGACTCCACAGAGTTGGGGGGGGGGACTGTTAGCAGGCGTCAGTATTAATCTGGCTCCGGATACCTGATCACCACTGAAATCTATTCCCTCACAGCAGCCCTAAGAAATGGTTAGGAATAAAATGGAGAGCCTGATTATCTGAAAATTAGGGGGCACGGAAGGTAGTATTATGGGGACTGGGGCAAACCCAATATTTTTAAGCCTCTTTAAGGTAATGTCAGGTATTGTATATTACATTCCAGGGCTATGACCCAGGTTTTCCCATGAACTTTGAATATGGGCCTGGGCATTGGCTGTTTACACACAGACAAGAAAAGAGGATTGAGTTGCACCCTTGCCATCTTTCTTTTTTTATCCTCACCCGAGGACATTTTTCCACTTTTTGTTCAGATAGAGTGGGAGGGAGAGAGAGAGGAAGAGGGAGAGAAAAACATCTATGTGTCGAGTGGCTGCCACCCACACAACCCAACCAGGGCCAGGGACAAACTGCAACCGAGGTACCTGCCCTTAGCGGGAACCGAACCAGGGTCTCTCTGGACTGCAGGCCCATACTCTTAACTGCTGAGCCAAACTGGCCAGGGCACCCTTGCAATCTTTTGAACAGAGGATGGTGCTTACCTGTACCCTAAAACCTGCAGTTGAAAATTAGTAAATAAAGTGAATAAGAAGAGGGTCCTAAGAGTTGCCGCATACGGAAAATGTTTCTTTGCCAAGGTGATCAGAATATTAATAATTCTGTGTTAACTTCAAAAAGTCCCGTAGTTGCTCTGGTGGGTTTGGCTTAGCAGTTAGAGTGTGGGCCTGCAGACCAGAGGGTTCTGGTTCGGTTCCCACTAAGGGCACGTACCCTGGTTGCAGTTTGTCCCCGGCCTGGTTGGGGTCGTGTGGGTGGCAACCACTCCATGTGTCTGTCTCTCTCACATTGATCTTTCTTTGTCTTCCTACCTTTCTGCCTCCCACTCTATCTGAAGAAAAATGGGGGAAAAAAAATCCTCCAGTGAGGATAAAAAAAAAAAAAGTGCCGTGGTTGCTTGCACTGTGTGGCTCAGTGGATTAAGAGCCATGGACTGAGAGTTTGGGTGGTCACTGGCTCAATCCCCAATAGGGGGCTTCTGATCTGCTTTCTCTCTCTCCCTTCCTCTCTAAAAAAAGTCCAGTGGTGGCTCCAAGGGTGTAATTGCATTAAGACGTGACACTTGAGTTAAATTCCATCTGTTGCAGGTTATTCTCTCCAAACGGATGTGAAAAGACGCTTCATTGGCAATACCAAATTAGTTTCTGTAATAATGGTGGTAGCCCACAGTCATACCTAGAGAACTGGAGCAGAAGCTCCACAGAGCAATCCTTACTTAGCCTTGCTAGGTGGGGTGCATGCCGAAGTGTTTATTTTGTTTCATGTTTTCATTTGAAAATAACTTCTCTGGGATAAATAAGTGGATAAAAAATGGCTTTTAATAACTCACCTTAGCAGTTAACATTTTGAAAGGCTATATATTTACTTAAAATAACACAAATTATGTACGTTTAGTTCATTCTGCAGACTAAGTTCATTGAGGGCTAGGGAGGGTAGTGTCTTGTGTTCACAATTATTTCTAGCACTTCTCACTGTGCCTGGTAAGTATCAGTTATCCAAAAGAAAGGTGTTGAATTGAAAAGAAAAAGTCAGGTTACTGAATTGTGTGGGGACACGATTGGGGGCAGTGACATTGAAGTAAATCGTATGGGTAGGGGCTTGGAGTAGGTTCCCTTTTTTTAAATACAAACGTTTTATGGATAGTGGCTTTAATATCTTTTCCACCTATCTGAACATACTCCTTTGCCGATGCTGGACAAAAGATGGGGTGACCTGAATACCATTTGCTTATCTTTGTGAGAACTAGGGAGACTGCACGTGGGTGCAGCTCCTTGTTCTTGGGGATCTTTCATGTCGTGGGGACTGTGTCAGACTTTTCAGACCACTCTGAGTCTGCACCCTTCTGGTTCCAAGGAACAGAATAGCCAACTTAAACCAAAGCAGAGCAGAAAGTGTTTGAGGTGGGGATTCATTACCCACAAAATGCTTTCAGGTGTACCAGATCAAGGCTGTAAGGGTAACCTTAGTCTGTCCCTCAATCCCCCTTTCCTCCAGCAGCTCCTGGGTCACATCCTCAGCACAGTGACCCCAGCAGAATGAAATGTTGTCTTGTTGGTGGCGACTTAAGGCCAAAGATCGAATCTCGTGGTCCTGGCTTGGGTGGTCATGTCTCTGCCCCTGTACCAGTCACTGGCCTAGGAAATGTGCCCACCCCTCTGCCCAGGGTTGGGGGCAACAAGTACAAGGCTGGGCTGACACAGTACAGGGCTCTGCAGAAAAAATCAGGGTTCCATTAAGTCTGCAGAGTTAAAAGCATGCTGGGCAGTTTCCCCATCTGGGTCCCTCACTTGTTCTTGTTCTGGGGGCAGGATGTGCGGTTCTCACTGCTCACTTCAGCGGCAGCTGGGCCCAGGATGCCACGGAGATTCTGTGGCAGTTACTGTCTACTGCCTGCTCTGTTCCGGGCCATGCAGGCTGGGGAGGCTTGGAGTGCCGCTTCATAGCTCCTCCAGGGAAGGAGTTGGGAGACCATCTGGAGCTGTTCCTTGATCTAACACCTGGTAGCATCGCCACCCGTCTCCCTGCTCCCTCCATGGTGGCGAGCAAGCTCCATGGTGGCGAGCAAGCTCCAAGTATGAACAGGCCCGGGTCATGCTCTTATTCCCATGGTTCTCTATTCTACCCCTCTCCCCCTTCACCACAGCTGATGTCAAAACAGCAGATGTCTAGATGTCTGCAGCTGCCATGGCCCTGGGGAGTTTTTTATCATTCTTGTCTATCCCAGCTCTCCAGAGGAATGCACTGTATTCCAGCAGTAGTCTGTTGGTCTGAGCAGGAGATGGAGTATCTTTGCAGTCGATCTGCATAAAGCTTAATGGCTATACAGGCACTTCCTCTTCCTCGGCAGCCAGGCTCCCCACACCTGTCCTGGTCACCGAGGTGATTTGGACACAGACAGCAATTCAACTTATGTGTAGCTGTGACCGCAAACCATGCGGTGATCTTCCACAATTCTGATAGAGTGAGAGTTGACGCCCAGGCTTTTGAATCTGTATCAGTAATATTCTTGATTTTATGATAGTCTCCCAGAACTGCTTCAAAGCAAGGGATTATTGTCAATATCCAAATCCACGCACAGGAAGAGAAAGTAACGCCACAGGCATTTACTGAACTCCGAAACCAAATGGGAATTGGGTAAACAGTTATAGCGATTTTTGAAATACTTTGAACTATTAGAAGGAAATGGTAATTCTTTATTGTTTTGGGAACCTAATAGATTCAGGCAGGGGGGATTATTTTATACAGTGGTTTGTAAATTGACATGTGAAGAAACAAGGAAGCAAATGTCTTTGCACATCTTGTTAAGGTGATCGATGCTGTTATTAAGTCATTGTCAGATATCCTGAAAGGGAGCAGTGTGGCATTTCACCTCGTTCTGTCTGAGAGCAGTAGTTTAGGATCTGCTCCAGAAGCTGATGCTGTCCTCCTGAGCCGGCCTCCAGGGACAGGCACTTCCGTGGGGAGCCGTCAGCTCACGCCGTCCTCCTGGGCTGTGAGCACACTGTGTTCTGTTTTAACTTCATCCCTTCTGTTTCCTTTCCTTTCAGTCCCCTCCGGGCAAAGTGACGGAGGCCGTGAAGCAGGCGATTGACCTTGGGTACCGCCACATCGACTGTGCCCACGTGTACCAGAATGAGAACGAGGTGGGGGAGGCCATCCAGGGGAAGATCAAGGAGCAGGTGGTAAAGCGTGAGGACCTCTTCATCGTCAGCAAGGTGCTGCTCTCGGGAGCCTGGGGGCTAGGGTTCTCGTGCCCGGTTATCCACTGGCAGCATCCGCTTAGGAGCCAAGGCTGTCCTCTGGGGCCTCTTAATACAGCTGCAGTGTTCTCGGCACACAGCTCTTCAGGGAAAGCGTGTTGACTCGAGGCCTAGAGGCCCACCCATCTATGGCTCTCTATTGGATGGTCATTCCATCTGGACCCATTGGATAGAGCCCCTTGCTGATGAGACAGGTCATGGGTTGTTGCTTTCTTTTCAGGGACTTATCTTTGAGGGTGGAACTTGGTTCCTATCTACAGAGTGGATGTCCACTGCTGGCCACCATCTTTTACCTGGGGACTCGGTGCCCAGAGGACACCTGTGGGAGGGTGAGGCTGGCTTTCGAGAGACCAGCCTCCTAGGAAAATTGCCCTGAGAACTCACGGGTCAGGCCGAGGGCTGGTGGGACCCGTGCATTCTCTTCTGTGCCTAGTTTGGTCCTCCTGAGAGATTCTTGACCTGATCTTCGTACCTTCCTTTGGAAAGTTAGGGCCCACACTGCAGTGGCATCTCCTTCACCACCGTGTTGGGGCGTCACGGTGACATGGTGGCTGTGGTGAGAGGAAAGCCAGTCGGCTGGCTTCAGGCCATCTGGCTCCCAGCCAGGAACAGCCACCTGCATGGTGGTGACGTGAGATGTGTTCTCTCGCTGGCTTCAGCTGTGGTCCACGTACCATGAGAAGAACCTGGTGAAGGGCGCCTGCAAGAAGACACTGGGTGACCTGAAGCTGGACTACCTGGACCTCTACCTTATCCACTGGCCAGTCGGTTTCAAGGTATGGGCGCAAGGTGCAAGTGTAGCCTGTGGTGTGCGAGGCCTCCTTTATTAGCATGTTGTGAGTGGTACACACCTAGTGTGTGTTGTTACTGCTCAAGGTGCCCAACAGTGACATCACCTGGGAGCATGTGAAAATCAGCCTCGGGCCCCACCCAGGGCTTCTGAATCCAAACCCAGTGACTAGCTTCACATTGCAGAGTTTGAAGAGCCCCGCGCTGGGTCAGTGGGTGACTGGAATTTACAACCTTGGGGCTCAGGTGACATTTCTGCACACAGCCATTGGCTGTCCCCGCCCTGTCCAGAGGCACCTGCATTCATACCCTGCCCCTGTGCAGTGGCGCACCCCTGCATTCCACACGTGCACACCCTGCAGGCTCGAGGACTCGCTGGCAGTGTGGCTGGGCAGAAGGAATCTAGTGTTGCATCCTTTGCCGTCATTCCAGTCACGGGCTCCGTTTTCTGCTTTGTCAGCCTGCTGGAATGTGTGGGTTTCACCTGAGAGCTGCATTTTATTCCGCTCTCTGGTTCCAGGCCTGACTTTTGCCTTTTGTGTTCCGTGATAAGCCAGCGAGTCTCGGCCGGGCAATGGTTCTGTAGCTAGTGGTCCAGCCAGGACACGGAACCCCGAGTCCTGGTCTTGAGTCCTTCCTCCGTCCACATGTGGCGGGATGCATCTCGCTGACCGTGAATTACCCGTCTCCATCTGACAGTCAGCTCCGACCCATTTGACGGGACAAGTGTCTGGGGGTTTCAGGAGTTGTCTGCCTGCTGCTTTTTCACACGGACACAGATGTGCCCTTGATTATCTTCTAAAAACACAGCCGGCTGTCGTAGTTTAGAATGGTTTTCAAACTTGGTCTTCAAAGATGCAGCTCCCCCCGCATGTCCGGGAAGGGCTATTACTGACTGTTTGTTTGATTGTCATGACAGCCCGGGAGCGAGTTCTTCCCGTTGGACGGGAAGGGCAACGTGATCGCCTCCAACACGAGCTTTCTGGACACGTGGGAGGTAAGGCTGCCCCGTCCGGCTTTCCTCCCTGCTCTGTTGCGCTGGCCTCGTGCGTGGCAGCTGAGCTCTGCCCCCTCGCGCCGCACGTTCTGCCCCTGTGGTTGCTCTTCCCGTCTCCGGAAAGCCCGCCGGTTCGGCCTTGGTGTCTCGGCTTCTCGGAGGTCTGGCTCAGGCACCAAGGCAGAGGGCGCGGCTGGTGTGAAAGGTGCTCTGAGCCTGCCCTGGGCACAGGTCAGGGGCAAGCGGACCCTCTTTTGTCTGCAGGCCATGGAAGAGCTGGTGGATGAAGGGCTGGTGAAAGCTATTGGGATCTCCAACTTCAACCATCTCCAGATCGAGAGGCTCCTAAACAAACCTGGCTTAAAACACAAGCCGGCGGTTAACCAGGTGAACAGCCAGCAGGGAGGCCCGGGGCAGGCCACCTGGCACTGAGCTTCGGGCACTTCCTCGTTCACGTCCCCAGGGAGCAGCAGGAGGCACACTCCTGGGCACGGGCAGTCCTCCCTGACGACTCGGGATGACTGGCACACTAGGGGTGAGCTTGTAGGAGAGCCAGGCTCGCGATGGCGAGGGCTCAGCGTCTCAGATTAGCAGCCTGCAGACACTGGAGTCCTCAGACCTGTCACAGTTGATAAATGGCTGAAGCCAACAGAAAGCCTTAGGGCCCATGGCCACGGCCCATCAGAAACAAGGTTATTATTGTTAATGTCGAGGACACTAGCTGAGACATGGAGAGGTTTTTATGGCTTATCTGGAGATAGGACGCTGGTTACACAATTTCCTATCTGACGAGCAGGGACTTGGCAGGGGCGCCTTCCCGGGCGTCTCGTTGCCCGTGCTCTGCCCCATCAACCTCCTGTCGCACTCGCAGATCGAGGTCCACCCGTACCTCACGCAGGAGAAGTTAATCCAGTATTGCCAATCCAAGGGCATCGTGGTGACGGCCTACAGCCCCCTCGGCTCTCCCGACAGGCCTTGGTGAGTTTCCACGGGACCACGTTTTGTTGTCCGTGGGCGAAGATTAGAACACTCAGCATCAGGGAAGAGTCTCTGGGGCTCGTTTGCAGGCCTGCCCAGGAGCCTCTTGGTTGGGTTTCCAGTAGCAAGAGCCCTGCTCTCTTCCCAAAGGGTTGGGAGCTCGTGACCAAGCTTCGAGTCGGGAGGGGGCTGGCGGGATCGAGGTTGGGGTGCCGGCTGCCTTGGATTCAGGGAGGCACCGATGCTGCTCACAAGGGCCATCTTTCTGCCTCCAGGGCCAAGCCTGAGGACCCTTCCCTGCTGCAGGATCCCAGAATCAAAGCCATAGCTGACAAGTACAAGAAAACCACAGCGCAGGTACGCGTCTCGAGGGCTCGTGACTCCGCGGTGGTACCGCGAGCTGCAGGGGCAGGTGACCGAGCCCAGGCAAGCCCTCCTGCAAGTGCGTCTTGGGGTCCTGAGTGTGCAGTAGACAGGGCGCCAGCGGGGGCGTCAGACGGCTGCCACGGGGTCTGGGAATAACAAGACCTGCCCCACGGCCGCCGCGAGGGGCGGCAGCCGCTACTGTGGGTGAAAGCGCCGGTCTGTACTAGAAAATCTCTCGGAAGACGTCTTCCCCGAGTGGTCGGTCGTAGGAGTTCCTGATCCGCGAGCACTCGGTGTCCTTGCGGAGAGGACATCTGGGAGACAGGAGTGCATGGCGTGCTGGCTGAGAGCGGGGCTCTGGGGTGAGGTCTGAGTGCCCCCCTGCCCGCTGCAGGGTGTGACCACAACGTCTCTGAGCCTTGGTTTGCTCACGTGAGGGTCTGGAATTTCCCCCTTCCGTGACGATGCCTAAGATTGAGTAAGCTAACGAGAGCACGTTCTGGGTGTACACACGCGGCACCTCTGTTCGCAGGTTCTGATCCGGTTCCCCATACAGAGGAACTTGGTCGTGATCCCCAAGTCTGTGAACCCTGAACGCATCGCTGAAAACTTCCAGGTAGGGTCCCGGGTGTCACCCTGGTTTTCCTCAGCGGAGGATGGGGTAGGGGAGGACTCCATAGGGTCTCATCCTGTCCCTGGAATGTGGTGTGTCGGCCCCCACCCTCTGGCACGTCTCGGCCAGGGAGCACACCTTGGGCAGTGGCTCCTGGGTGGAGACACCGTTTGGGGGCAGGCGCTGTGGCTCCGTTTACCTTTCATATGGGCACACGCTCATGCTGAGCTCCTCGGTGACTGTTTGCCCTGAGCCATGTTCACGAGTGGCGCCGCCTGGGTTTGCAGCATGGCTCTGTTAGTCACTGCAGTTCCCCGCGGAGAAATATTACTTACCACAAGGGTTGTCGTGAAGACTCGGGTACGCGAAAGGGCTTCACACACAATGCTTGGTACCCTGGTAGGCGCTCAGGGATCGATACTGTGCTGCTGCTGAGTCCATGGTCTGCAAAGACCCTCCAGGCCATTCCTGCCCACCCTGCTGCCCGGAGCCCCTCCCACAGTGGGCAGAGTGCGGCCGGCATCAGGGCTCCAGAGGTGCTCTGTGGGCCTGGGAGCACCCGGAGCAGGTCTTCACGTCCTCCCTGCTTCTCACACTGGTGATGGGGTCTGGGGAAGAAGAGCTTCAAGGTCCTGATGCCCCTGAGCAGAGCGGCTCCCCTGGGCCATGCCACCTTGGCTAAGCTTTGGTTCTGAGCAGCTGTCTCCACAGCAAGCTGCTGGTTGGGCCTGTTCACTGGCCCCAGGCTGTGGCTGTAACATGTCATTGGTCACCTGGGGAGGGGAGAGGAGCTTGTTGTGCAGTAAGGGAGCATTTTCTTCTTCCTTCAGACGTTTTGACTATCTGAGATAAAGTGGTAAACAGTGACTAGTGTAGGAAACATGTCATGCTAGAGATAGGTCCCTCGTTTGTGTTGTATATTTCCAAGGTGTTGGAAAAGGTTTCAAACTGACCCGTCTCATAGTGCTAACATTCTGTTCTCACCTCTTGCTGTGCGGTCCTTGCACATTTTGCACAGTTGTAATCACAGAGTCTGCAGCAGACTTTCTTCTTGCACGTTCTGGGGTCAGCGGAGGCCGGAGGCCCTCTCGGTGTATGCCCGCCCTCCCCGTCTCACTGGGCGCACTTCGGACCTGCCCGCTGGCCTCTGCGTGGGCCACCTCTTCCCCCTGCACACTGCGGTCTCCACGCAGGTGGCTCTTCCGTACCCTCTCCTGCTCTCTTTGCGAAAACCCTTCTTGGCGTCTCAGGCCTGCCTCAAAGCCTCTGATCGCAGCCTTCGGTTCCCCGGCTGGGGTGCAGCCCTGAGTCCTCGGGACTTCCCCAGGGCTTTGTGGAGCGCCTGCCCCATGGTCTGTGTGTATCATTCCTCCTTGTATTACAGCTGTGGTTTCCTCTGCTTCCTTGTAAACTGAGGCAGACGCGTCTCACCCATCGTTGTGTTCCCCGGTGCCGAGCACAGCTTAGTGGTCTTGAAATGAACTAAATGGAGGTTCTGGAAGGGAAGGACTGTGTTCGATGTCTCACGTGGTACCCAGCGAACCTTGTGCCTCCTCTGGGTAGCGAAGACAGTGATCCTCTGCGCTGAGTGTCCCTCGCCTCGCCACTCGGGGCGGCGTCTCGTCGGGGTCCTGCGCAGGCTGCTGGATGACCTGCATCTGGGCTCCCTTGCAGAGCTCATTGGACATTTTTCCTTCTAGGTCTTTGACTTTGAGCTGAGCAGCGAGGATATGACCACCTTACTCAGCTACAACAGGAACTGGAGGGTCTGTGCCTTGGTGAGGTGAGTGGGTCCCCGTTGAGTATCAGGTGCTGCAGAATGAAAGCGTAGCTCCCGGAGGCCACCACGTCCAAGTTCCGCTGTCACTGGCCCGGCCGTCCCCACGGCGCGTTTCCTCTTGTTCCCATGCGTGTGTGGCCGGGGCTGAGCTGCACGAGGCCGTGGGGAGATGCCGAGATGTCTGCTCTGGCGTCTTCTGGGCCTGGCCCAGGCGCAGCGTGGCCCGGCCTGCAGAGACCGCAGACTCTGGCACTTAGTTCCTGTCCCACCTCCATGGGAGCGTGTCTTTGACCCTCTCTGATGACACTGAGGAAGGGGTTAGTGGGACAACCGTGGTGCTGGGGCCTGAGCTCATCCCAGCCCCGGCCCTGCGGGGCCTCTAGACCCCGAGAAGGCCGCGCGGCCCGCTGGTCCTCGTGTTCCCTCTGACTGGCGTGTGGCCTCTGAGGGAGGTGACAGGGCAGGTGGTTGTTTTCTTTTCCTGCCTCTTCAGCAGCTAAAGTTTTAAACCCATTTTCTGCTGCCAGGGAGAGTAAGAACCTCCTCTCTCGCTGTTACTGTCTGATCCCTGCCGGCTCCTCCTGTCTCCTTCACTAGTTAATTCTCTCCTGTGCAGAGTGTGCCCTTCCCAGGCCAGGGCCGGTGCCAGCCTTTCTTCCCAGCCTCTGCTCTGTCCGGTCCGCCGCAGGCAGGTGGCCGCCAGCTGTGCATCGGGGACCTGCCTCGGGTGGACGTGCCTGCGAGCGCGTTGCTGTCGCTGTCACCGCGGGAACTCGCATTCAGAACGGCCTGGTTTCCCATGGCTGCCCCGATCCAGGGCCCTTTCTGAGGCCCTGGGTGCATGCCTGATACTTAGTCTTCAGACACTGAGGCCAAGTTTGGATCTAGTGGGCAAGGGAGAGGAGAAGTGAATCTGCCAAGTCACAGCTGCTCTGCTGCGAGAACCCGTGTCATGCATTCCGTTCCCTTTCCGCCGCTGACGTGCGTGCCGAGTCTCGGGGCTGACAGGCCTCGGGTTTTCCGGTCGGTCCCCTGACGTTCAGACTCCCTCCGCTCTCCTTGCGGTCTGGAAGCTGCTGTCAGGGCCTCCAGCGCGCTGACGACGTTCAGTGGGGACGTCCGGGGAGGGAGAGGCTGTCCCCAACATAGCCAGGCCACCTGGGAAGCTCTTCCTAACTACACACGTAGCACACACGGTACCTCTGGGTGGCAGTCCCTGCAGTAATTGCCAATGGCACTGTCACGCACCTCGGGCTTGGCGGGCTGCCGGACAGGCAGACCATGGCGAACTTGTGACTGGTTCTGAGTATCTGACGGAGTTACATGCCCCCGCTGGGCTCGCCCAGGGCCTTCCGCATTCGGCCCAGCAGTCGCTCCGACACCATTGCCATCATGTTCCCAGCACAAGCCACTGGCCCTGCCAGCTGGGGCCGGGGACGGGCGGACACGCCGCAGTTTGGCATCCCCAAGTCGGTCCCAGTCTGTTCCCGCCTCTGCTGCTTTTTATGAATCCTCAGTTATTCTGGGCTCACTCCAGCCCCCACGGACACCAGGAGGGCGGTGCCCCTCTCTCTGTGCTCGGAGCTCTTTCTGTGCCACCCACACAGATTCTCAGCTCTCATGTGATCAGTCTCTCCGTGTTGAGGACAATAAGATCCTCTCCTGTCCTGCTCTCTAGACTGACTTTCCAGGAGGCAGGAATCGCACTGTGCTGCGCTGCAGGTCCCCAGCACAGTGCTGGGCACAGAGGGTAGCATCCATCATGCATGAGTCCATTCAGGAGAGCGCGAGGCACGGGGGTCTGGAGGGTGGGCTCTGACCTTGGTGCAGACCCATGACCTGCAGTGTCAGGACTGACTTGTCACACAGGCCTTTACTTCTGCCTGCATGAGACACTTGCCAGTTCTGTCTCTGACCTGCGCTGGTGGTTGAAGTCTCTGGAAAAGCTAATGTGTTCCTCTTTCTCTTACAGCTGTATCACCCACAGCGACTACCCGTTCAAGGAAGAGTTTTGAGGCGATGGTGCCCGCTCTTCCCGGGGCCCTGCCGCCACCTTCCCGCCTCCTTCCTCCTGTTTGTAGTATGATGCTGTGTCCCTCAGCGGCAGGGCAGCCCCCTGCGCGACCCAGTGGCGCGGGGCCAGCCTGGCCTTGGGCCGATGGGCAGTCTCCGTAGATTAGAGTTCTCTTCCAGTTTTCTTTGCTTTTCTTGTTCAGTTCCTGGGAAAATATAACCTCAGTACCCTTTTCTAATTAAGTTGAATCTTCAAAGTGAAAATGAGTGCCACTAACGGGCAGGTTTTGGCTGCTCGGAACCGATCCTTTCAGCCAGACTCCTCGTTGCCGCAAATAAAAAGTATTCTGCAAGCTCGATGCAGTCGGTTTGGTTTGGTTTGTTGAAACGGTGCATCGCCTTCTGTCCCACCCAACCTTCATCCTGTTGGGAGTCAGCTGGGGAGCTGTAAATGCCAGTTAGCGATGTGGGGACCTCGGCCCTGGAGACATCTAATTAGCCCCCCCCCAGGAGGCCAGGACATCCGGAGTTCGCATGCCCCAGGGGCTCCAGTGTGCGGCCATGAGAGCCCCCTCTTATGGCCAAGCCAGGAACTAAACCCATTTGTGATTTCACAAATTCCTTGATTGTTGCTCTTCCCTGGGAAGGCCGGGGTCCTGTTTACTAAGCAGCCTCCTCACAAGAACTGCTCTCGTGAGCTCGCCTGGCCCGGAGGGAAGAAGCATCGAGAGCTGGTGCCCGTGAGCTCAGGCCGCCATATAAAACGCCCAGACGGTCCCTCACGTGTGTTTCTCGCAGCTCTGGAGGCTGGAAGTCAGGTCAGGGCCCCTTTCCTGGCTTGTGGATGGCCGTCTTCTCACTCTCCTCACGTCCTCACATGGCCGAGAAGGACGAATGCTTTAAATAGGGTAACAGCCCGGCCAGTGGGGCTGAGTGGTTGAGCATTGACCTATGCACCGAGAGGTCACCAGTTCGACTCCTGGTCAGGGCACATGCCCAGGTTGAGGCCCGATCCCCAGGGGGGGACATGCAGGAGGCGGCCGATTGGTGTTCTCTGTCATTTGATGTTCTCAGTCGTTGATATTTCCATCTGTCCCTCTCCCTTCCTCTAACATCAATAAAGAAAAAAAAATTTTAAATAGGGTTACAAAAGTAAAGCCACCCCCCATTTTTATTTCTACCTTTTTTTAGAAATGCTGTTGTTTATTTTTATTAATGTTTCCTTACTCAGAATTAAATGGACATAGGCCAGGGAAAGGATGGGATACACAAGTTTGACTCAAATTTCAAGAACAAAATGCTTCATTGCTCACTTTATAGTATAATCATTGCCCCTAAATATTAGGTGGCCTTAACTTAGGTTATCCATGTGTAAAAGTGGCTGCTAGGTCTCACCCAGGGATGACAGCACCAGGCCCTTGAGTGGCTAGGGCACAGCCAGGCAGGGGACTCAGAGCCCCCCCATTCACTGCCTGGCACCCCCTGGTCACAGTGGTCCATTGTCCCCTGCTGCGTAGGCTCATCCCACCTTATCCCCAGTTAAACTGCAAACCTCCTCAGTCACCCTCCAAATCGTCAAGAACGGACTATTTTATTATGTCAAATCCACGCCAACCTAGTCCTTACCCTTGTTTCTCAGGGAGCCCAGAATTGGCTTAACCACACTTTAGGGAACTTAGTAAACGGTGTTAAGTCAGCTGCCCGCTTCCTAGGTCCCTGCGTAAAACACATCATAAGACTTGAAAAGTCAGCCAGAAGCACCGATAAAAGGCCCTGCGCCAGCCCTGCTTTCTAGCAGAGACTGGTATCTGGAGCCTGGCCTGGGGGCGGGGCGGGGAGGAAATCAAGGCCTATCACAAAGGTCTGTTCTGGACTTGGAAGATAACACAGGAGTGCCGGGTCTGGCATGTTGGTGCTGGACTGTAGCTAGGGAGAGGCTGCGGGCTCCGCAGGGCCGGCTTCACCCACCACGAACTATCTGTGCTGGAGCAGACAGACACCAGGGAGTCACCACAGAGACAGCCAGACGGACAGACGGCTCGTCCCTGCCTTCCCTTTGTAGAAATAGAATCTCCGTGCCTTCTGGGGCAGGTTCCAACCCAGCCTCGGGGCTTAGGTGGAGTCAACATGAGGAATAAGGAATGATGTGAAATGCAAAATACATTCATGAAACCGTTGGAATTTTACCAAAACAAAGTTCCAGCCAAGGTGAATGGTTAATAAGATAATGGGACCTACTGAAAGACGGAACTAAATTTTATTGACTCGCAGGGGCACTTCAGACCTGCTCTTGAGAAATCTCTCTGGACAATGCTACAGCAGACTTGATTTCACTCAGCACAGGTTCCCGAGGTCCGATTTCACGCCACGAGGTTTCTCAACACCGATGTCTCAACCTTGATGTCTCAGGGCGGTGTGCGGTGCGGGCTAACAGAAGCCATCATTCCAGAGCCCCGGGTGGGGCCGGCCCCAGAGGGCCTAGAGGGGCTGTCTTTGGAAGGTCATGGCTCCCTGAGATCCAGCTCCAGGTCACACTTATCTTTCTGTCCTTTGAAGTCATTTTCTAGCTGTGCCTGGTCTTCAGTATCCAGAACCTTCCTCTGGAGTTCGGCTTCTCAGGTCCTCTTCCAGCCCAATGCCCCGCTTAACCTGAGGGTGCCCTGTATCTGTTTTCCACGCCTTTCTGTCCGCAGAACCTAGAACAGCGCCTGGGCACAGACTAGATTCCGGCTGTCAGTTGCATGAACTAGTGAGTGAATGAATGAAGAACTTGTTTTATGACTCACCAGGCAAACCTCCTAGTGTGAAATCAATGTATTTCGGAGCCAAAGGGGTGCTGCTCAGTTCTGAATAGCGGCCTAAGATACCCGAAAGGGCAGCAAAGGGTGGCATAGCTATAGACAGACAGAATGTTCACGCACAGCTCAACTCATCCTCATCATGAGTCTGGAGAAATAGTTAACCCACCATCCTTCATTTTCTCAGTCTCTTAAACACCTGCCCCCTAGCGGTCAGGAGGATTAAACGAGATCATAAATGTAAACCACTCTCCCAGGCCTTGCACACAGCACTCAGTACACGCTCGCCATTATTCTGATATTGTTAATGTCATTGTTATCATAACTAAATGTCAGCAACAGAAGCAGACCCATCCATTTGCAGACGGCGGCCCAGGGAGGAGCTATGCACAGAGCAGGGCTCTTTCCTTGGCAGGAACAGGCTTCCTCCATGGCCTGGACTTGGTTCAACCTCCTGCGAAGGAAGGGCGGCTCCCGAGACATTTATCAGTGAGCAACACAGTTAGCTCTTGTTTCCAACCCTGAGGATTGTGCTGCCGGCACAAGACGAGCCCCGCGGAAAATACTGCCTGTGCGATGTAAGAAGTATTCTTTTCACACTGATGGCCGAACTCAGAGAGTATGAAGATGACATCTAATCCCGTGTTTCCCTATCCAGTGTTTTCCAACTTACTTTTGGCAGCAGGCTCCTTTCTTCAAAACAAATCCTACCCAGATCCTCAGTATATACACCAGATAGAGACAGAGCTGCAGTGGCCACAGTGGGGGAGGGATCGCAGAGCCAAGCCAGCCGGTACCCCACACGCAGCACCCCAACCGTAACGCCCCCGGAGCACAGTGTCACAGCCTTGGGATCCAACCCTTGGTTGGTTGGTTGGTTGTTTTTTAAAAACTGCAATCATTTCTCTCACACAGTTGGAGGACTTTGGGCGTTCTAGAGAGGCTCAGCTGGGTGGGTAGCAGTGAACATGACAGCTGGTGACCATCTTGCAAAGGCTGGGTTGGGCTGACGGACTTGACTCCAAGATGGTGCACTTGATCTCGGGCCACTCAGTCCTGCGTGTTGGCGGGAGGCCTCAGACCCCTGCCCCGTCGCCTTTCCCAGAGCTGCTGGCGCATGCGTGACCTGATGGCGGGCTCCCCGAGTGACTGATCCAAGGGAGCATGAACTGGAAGCCACCGTACCCTCACTGTCCGACCTCAGAAGTCACGCACCATCATTTCCGCAGGACAGCAGCCCTGCTCACCGGGACACTGTGGAGCCGTCGCCGCGGCTTCCACGCCTGGAGTTGCACGTTGTTTAGAAAGCACTTCAGGAACTGCAGACGTGTAAACAATATTTCCAAACATGTTTAAATTGGCATGCTTAGCCAGCCAACCGTTTGCTTTCGCAACAACAAAAACGCTGAGGATTAGAGACGTGAACTGACCATCCAAAGCTCATTTAAGTAGAAACGTAAGGTCTCTGGGTTCTAGTCTGTTGCTTTACATCACAATATTAGTAACCGATATTTCTTTTTTTTTTTTTTTATCCTCACCCAAGGACACCCTTCCATTTTTTGTTCAGATAGAGTGGGAGGAAGAGAGAGGAACAGAGAGAGAGAGAGAGAGAAACATCGATGTGAAAGGGACACATCGAGTGGTCACTACCCGCACGACCAACCAGGGCCGGGGACAAACTGCAACCAAGGCACGCGCCCTTAGCGGGAACCGAACCCGGGTCTCTCTGGACTGCAGGCCGATGCTCTAACTGCTGAACCAAACCGGCCAGGGCTTAACTGATATTTCATTGAAATAATAATTATAGTGACACATGTATACAGCTTTATGGCCAAGGTTAAATCGAAAGTGACAGGTCAGATTGAGAGTATATGCTTTGGGCCTGATGTGATGAAAATGGCACCTCACCTCCATGATCTCCCCAAGCTCCAGACCCCAGTCTAATCATGAGACAACATCAAAGAAATCTGTTGTAAATGAGCCACATTCTACAAAACACCAGATCAATATCAGTACTCCTCAGAACGTTCAAGATTATCGATAACATGGAAGTCTGAGAAGCTGTCACGACCAGGAGGAGCCTAGGCAGACACCATGACTAAGTGGATGGGCTCCCAGGTCAGGAAGAAAAGACATTGGGTTAAAAACTAAGGCTGTTGGAATAGTCTAGACTTTTAATTTTGTTTTTAGTTTTATTTTTTAAGTTTATTTGAGCCAAACTGATGAGAATATGCTGGAAGCAAGATCTCAAATACTCCCTTTAGCTAGACATCATTTTTCAGTATTGGCTCACTAATCACGATAACAAAATCTGTTAATGATGGAAACTCGGTGAGAAGTATATTGGAACTCTGTATTATCTCTGAACTTTTTCTGTAAGTCTAAAACGATTCAAAAATAAAATGCCTATTAAGAGAAAACTTTACATAACACTCAGCAAGAACCGGTTTTCTAAACAAAATATAACAAGTCTGCCTAGCCTACTCCCTTGCTTTCAAAATGCTCACACTTTTCCTAGGTCAAGCAAACAAAGTAATTAGCAAGGGCGCAGGTCTGAAT